GAGAGAGAGAGAGAGAGAGAGAGAGAGAGAGAGAGAGAGAGAGAGAGAGAGAGAGAGAGAGAGAGAGAGAGAGAGAGAGCGAGAGAGATGCAGACAGACAGACAAACAAAGAGAAAATATCCTAAAAAAATATAGTTAAGAAACACTGAAGAATAAAAAACCTCGAGATAGAGCACAGGAAAATTGGCTCTATCGCCTCCACACCTAAGAGTTAATTTCGCAATTTACTCCCTTAATTGGAGATTAAGATGATTATATTTCTTGGAAAGATGTAGTAATGTAATTAAAAACTTTTAAAACCTGTCTGATGACATATTCTCCCAGGATTCAGGAAGATCTTCAAAGATTTTGTCGTACAGGCTGAAGAAAATGCCTAGGGACGAAGCAGGGAAGAAGTGAGGAAAGACGAAGAGACTGGGAGGGAGGGAGGGAGGAAGGGAGAAAGGGAGGGAGGGAGGGTGGAAGGGAGTTAGGGATGGAGGAAGGGTGGACGGGAGGGAGGGAGGGTGGAGGGGAGGGAGGGAGGGTGGAGGGGAGGGAGGGAGGGAGGGAAGGATGGATGGGAGGGAGAAAGGATGGAGTGGAGGGAGGAAGGGAGAAAGGGAGGGAGGAAGGCTGGACGGGAGGGAAGGAGAGAAGGAGGGAGGGATGAAGGGTGGATGTAGGGGAGGGAGGGAAGGAGAGATAGAGACAGCAGCGAAAGGAGAGAGAGAGTGAAGGAGGGAGAGTGAAAGGGATGAATCCGGGAGGAAATGAGGGAGAGAGGAATGGTGGAGGGGAGAAAGGGAGGGAGAAGAGAAAGAAGGAGAGAAAGAAAGAAGGAGAGAGAGAAAGAAATAGAGAGATAAACAGAGAGACAGACAGACAGACAGACTGACAGACAGAGAGAGAGAGAGAGAGAGAGAGAGAGAGAGAGAGAGAGAGAGAGAGAGAGAGAGAGAGAGAGAGAGAGAGAGAGAGAGAGAGAGAGAGAGAGAGAGAAAAGAAGAGAAGGAGAAGGAGAGATCAAAATTTCCACTCACAAGAATAACTGAAAAATAATACGCAGTACAGATAAAATGAGAGAGAGAAAAAAAGAGAGAAAATCACGTAAAGCAAAACCATTTTTAAAAATTATATAACATTTCGATTCTGAATGTGTTGGTTGGGGGACGGAACGCAAGTGCAATTTTAGTAGATTATATCAGACTAACTGCATTACTTGTTTCAATCATTACACGTATGCTTGTACATCTGCGTTTAACACTGCGCTCCAAAGCAATAATTTTAAAAACCTGTAAATCAATGTGATGTCCGTGGCCTTTTATTCATTTTCGCGTTTTGTCCTTTTTCATGATGGCGCTTGATAAAAAAAAAAAAAATTAAAATGCAACCAGATCATGCGTAAATTTAATCACTTTGTCGTAACTGGAAATTAAGAGGAGTATCTAGTGGGCGTCATTTTATTTTTGTGTGTTTTTTTTCTCTGTTTGTTTGTTTGTGTGTATCCCGAGCTAATGTGATTTCTGTTTATGTGTGTGTGTTAAGGTGTATGTGAGTGTGTGTGCGCACGCGGCATCTTTTCTGTGTTAATGTGTGTTACTACCTCATAGCCTACTTCTCTCAGTCTCTCTGGGCCTGTCAGTTTGTTTGTCTATCTGCCCGTTTGTCTGTCTGTCTTTCTGTTTGTCTGTCTGTCTGTCTGTCTGTATGTATGTCTGTCTATCTGTCTGTCTATCTGTCTGTCTGTCTGTCTGTGTCTGTCTGTCAGTCTGTCTGTCTACCTGTCTGTCTGTCTTTCTGTCAGTTTGTCTCTCTGTCTCTGTCTCTCTCTCTCTCTCTCTCTCTCTCTCTCTCTCTCTCTCTCTCTCTCTCTCTCTCTCTCTCTCTCTCCTTCCCTCTCTCTCTCCCTCTCTCTCTCTTTCTCTCTGTCTCTGTCTCTCTCTCTCTCTCTCTCTCTCTCTCTCTCTCTCTCTCTCTCTCTCTCTCTCTCTCTCTCTCTCTCTCTCTCTCTCTCTCTCTCTCTCTCTCTCTCTGTCTCTCCCACTCTCTCTCCCACAATTCTCCATTGGGTACCTTCATTGTAATAGCAATATCCTGGTCAGTGCCGTGTACCCATCTTCCTTAATTGCATTGCTGTTCTAAAAAGGTAATTCTATAGAAAGAAAAAAGGGAAACGAACGAAGAAATGGAAAGGAAACAAACACAAAAACAAAACATTTAATTCCAGAAATCATAATCATAATATTTCTCTTAGAAATAGTGCATACGATAATTGTGTCTGAATAATCATTAGGACATTGTGTGATTCGAAATGATTGCAGTACACTATCACATCTAAATTCCATTGCATAATGTTCTAATTAGATCAGATTTAACAAGAAATAAGAAAATGATAACGATCACAATATATACGCGGATTAATCAACTGTTGCACATAACAGTAAAAGGTTTAATTAGTCGACTTCCATTTGTATTCACTGGCGTTTGAAGAGAAGCTAAAACTGGGAGAATTATATGTGACTCTGCCTTAATTGCTCGATGCTTGCGTAATAAACTAAAGCGCG